CAAGACCGGTCGCTCTTTTGGAGAGCGTTTCTCCTGCTCTGCTGTCGTCTCGTTCTTCCACACCTAAAGCAAGCAGAGGTGACTTCACACACGAAGCTCAGTTATAAACATAGCAACAAATTCAGCCCATGTGAACAGGCATGTAAAGTCTTGGCGAGAAACCCTGGATTTCTCTCAAGAGGAAAGGCTTTTCAGATACACAGGCTTTCAGGCAAGAAAAAGCTTGTCACCACCTACCATTGTTTCATTGATGACTTTTTCTAGCATGTTTAGCTCGACGTCAGTAAAGATCTGATCATCTTCTGGGATCAGCCTCGCACTCCTTTAAGAGAACAAAAACTCAGTCAACGACTGGCTCATGACTAACTTTACATTTCCTTCCTTCTAACCACTTACTTTAAGAAGAAACTGGAGCTATTGAGCAGGCTTTCCAGGCGGGCCAGGTGCTCCGGCCACTTGCGTCGTTCGTCAACCCTGAAAAACATGTCCTTGCACAGGCTCTTCAGCTGAAAGAGTTTTTCTCTCAGCTGTTTGGTGGTGGCAGCATAGCCATCCTCATCCATCCACTCAGACACCTCTTTCAGCTTGGCTGAGATCTGTTCCTGCTCCTCCTCGGTTACCACCTGCTGGTAATCCTCCTGGTACAGCTTGTCCTGGAAAAAGAGCATACTGAACCCTTACATGGGGAAAAAGAATTTAATTTCTTATTTTGTTGTATATTTGTTTTTAACTTTGAAATTTTCACTCTAGTCCTAGTTCCCAGTTGCTTCAATAAATAATTGTTTATTGTTTTATGTAAAGCACTTTGGTATGCCCAAGGCTTTTAAATGTGCTCTATAAATAAAGATTGTTGTTGTTGTTGTTCCCAGTTGCTTCAGAGCAGGGGTGTCAAACGTACAGCCTGGGTGCCACATAGTTTCATATGTCAGTTATTAATCGCTGGTATACAAGTCTTTAGGTCTGCTGAGAATCCATGCAAGTGGGGGTGGGACTTTATTTTGATGGACACACCATGTGCCCAGTCAGACTCAAAGTCAGACTGGGATCATACCATTATGTGAAAGAAGGAGGGGCAGACATTCTGAAGACAGCAAGTATAGTAGTACCAGCCAGGTACACAGAGAGATGGGGGGCCAGATTTAAATGCAAGCGTGTTGGGAAAAAGTGAAGAAACAAGCAAAAACATAAAATTAGCAGCATCTGGTTGCATGTCAATGATACAGAGTGCCTGAGTGTCTAAGTGAGTCTTCATAGGCCTGAATGTGCGCTTGAAGTTATTTGGAATTCCTAACTTGCGCGATCTGTGCTCACCGCACACAGACACAAATGGACTTGTAACTGTATTTACAGTTTTTCTTAATGATTAAAACTTCCCATATGGCCATTCGCACTAAACAAAGTAATTGAGCAATATCAAATCAAATCAAATCAAATCACTTTTATTGTCACATCACATGTGAAGGCACACTGGCACAGCACATGCGAGTGAAATTCTTGTGTGCGAGCCCCACAAGCAACAGAGATGTGCAAACACAACAACACAAACGAGCAAAATACAAGAATGGCCAACCTGAAACTAATAAATATATGTACAATATATAATAGTGTATGCATTTCTGGATGTGTATACTAAATATTTTCCTACGTGTGTGTGTGTGTGTGTGTGTGTGTGTGTGTGTGTGTGTGTGTGTGTGTGTATATATACACATTTTTACAAATTAAATAGTAAAAAAAAAAAAAAAAAAAAAAAAAAAAAAACAATAATAATAATAATGATAATAATAATAATAATAATAATAATAAAATATATAAAATATACAGAGTTGAATATGTGCAAAACAAGTGGCAAAACAAGTTAATAAACAATTAACTTATTGAAACTCAATGCTACCCAGTACTGGGGGCGAGAGGGAGAACATTAGGTTAAACGGAATGTTCCATATCTCTATATATTTAAATATAGACGTGTGGTATCCACAGAAACTTCAAAATCTCAGCAACAAAACCATTTCAACAACCACCAAACAGGTAAAACACCAAACGATTAAAGAGCAGGAGATTCCATAAAAAGACGTAAACACGATCCACATGTCTGTTTACCGGTGCTGTAAGCTGACATCTCACAGATTCTGAAACTGCAGGTTTCATCATTCTTAGACCAAAATTCACTGAACCAGCAGCAAAGGATGCCAATTTGGCATAATTTGTGAAACACTGCTTGCAAAAGCTATGTCTCTAATAAAACCTTTCTAACTTTGTGAAAAACAGACTATAGAAATTTCAAGTTTTTTTTTTCCACAACTACAGTTAAAAAAACAAAAAACAAAAAACAAAGCTGGGCAGCCTCTGGGCAGTGAGCTACCAGAACTTTTTCATGCTGGCAGATTTCTACCTTTGTCACAGCAGCTTTTTCTTCATTATGCAGAAAAACAATTAAACATGTAACTTCTTTACACTGACAGTGACGAGAGTTTCACTGGTCCGGCCTGCTTAAGATCGAAGTGAGCTACATGTGGCCCACCATGTAAAATGAGTCTGACACCCATGCTTTAGGGTTAATACAGAAACTTGAAATAACCTCTTGTGTACATTCATGCATGTGTCTGTTTTCTCACTTAATGCTTTATTTTTAAGAGTGCCTGTTCCTTATGCTTTACTTTTAGTTTTGCTTCCCTTTCAGCCATATGTCCCTCTCCCCCGCTGTCACACGTTCTATGTATTTAGAGTCTTGTTCTTTGTCTGAATGCCAGTTCATGTGGACCCACTGTGTTGTTTCTATAGATTATAATTCTGCCTGCCTGTGTTCGTGTCCTATATTTGAGCTCTCACTCCTCACACTCCACCTAATGACTGTACACTCTGCTCAGAATGGACCCAGTGGACGCAGCATCCGAGGAGTTTCAAAATCAGTTTCTCATTCTCCTGGGATGGTGGCTATGTTCCTTCTGCATGGGCTGCAAGGAAGAAGTGGGGCAAAGAATTAGCATCCTGCTACGCTCCTGCCCCCAGCAGATATTGCCAAAATGGTAAGAGGAATTTGTTTTCATTCTTTTATCCCTATTGCTGTAAGAGCGGCCCTGCACTCAAGCTTTGTCATTGTCAGCCATCACCTTCACATCTCAAAAGACACAACAGCACTCTGCTTGGCATCTTAAAACCCATCTATATGCTTTATCATGACACAGTCTTAGTCTATTTTTTACCTTGTTTAACTTCTTTTTTTTAGTTTTTGTTTACCTTATGTTTTTATTTTGTTGTAAGGTGACCTTGAGGGTCTTTAATAAGGCTACCACAAACGATTAGTTGACTAGTCGCCTTATTTTTTCTGAAAATGATGTGCCGCGGTTCTCGCCGGCTCTAGCGAGCCTTGACTCCGTTGGAGGAGTCTACAAATTTGGACAGCCTTCGTCACATTGCTGTGACGTAATAGGCCTTGGGAGGATGCAGCCCCCACTGTGTCCAAATTTAGGGGCCACATCCTTCAGCTTCAAACAAGACATCACATATTTGCAAAAATGCTCCGACGTTTTTGGAGACGTCTGTTACCCACCAGCTCAATAGCTAGTCAGGGCGAGAACAGCGAACTCCTGGCACATCGTTTTCAAACTCCCCGCGGTCTTTCGCTACTCAGGTTAAACATGAAATATAAGTCACTTAGATAACCTAAAAATGTTATCGTTTGGCTTTTTTCAGTATTTTATTTCTTTGTGAGTAAATCGGTTTGGCTGAGATTACAGCTGAACAAACGTCAAACGGAAAACTGATTAAACAGAAGTGTGAGATGATCGAGAATTTACGCAAATGTCCTGTTATATTTTAGATAGCAAGGAGCAGACGGCTGAGTTTATTAACCCTTTAAAGCCGGTCGGAGCGGGCACGCTCCGTTTTGCATAACTATTTTTAAATCCCGGTAGCACTGCAACCACGTAAGCTAGCGCAATAATTTTTTTTGCATATGAAACCGGAGGAGTTGTACTTACATCTTATGCCATCAGCTTGTCCTAAGTCAGAGTTTCCTTCCACATAAAGCTTTGCAAAAACTGAATAAAAAGCACTTGCAGCCAGAGATGGGCAGTAACACGTTACTTGTAACGAGTTACTGTAATCCGATTACTTTTTCGAGTAACGAGTAAAGTAAGGGATTACCATTGCAAAAACAGTAATTAGATTACTGTTACTTTCCCGTAAGCACACTGCGTTACTAAAACCGTGATTTTCTTGCGAGAGTGTCTCATGACAGTGACGTAAGCGAGTGCGACATTTGTGGCAACAGCTGTGTGCAGATGAACAATGGATAATATATCGAGTGCGGGAGAGAGTATGAGTGTGCAGCGTTTAAAGCGTGGAAGTACTGACCTTACTTTGAGTTTGATTCCATAAAAAGTGACAAAAACATTAGCGTCCGCTGATCACTGCGTGGGAAGAAAACTTCTTTTTACAGCGAAAAAAACCCCCTTAACTTCTGAGCAAGCACCTAGTGCCCTACGATGTAATGTGAAATTCAGAGAGAAACTCGCGGATTCTTCAACTGACCGCTGTGGCACACCTGCACCCTAACCTCCGCCTACGCCACTCCTGCTTTATAGGTGAGAATAGAGCAACAGAACCGCTAGTCTTTGATTTTATATATTTTCTGCTGTGTTTTACTTGCATTTATTTGAAAGAGTGAGTGTAAACACAAAAAAATATTTTATTTTATGTGCTGGAATGTGCAAAAATTAGGTTTAAATGTTAAACAAATTTCTTCCAGTCAGTGAATGTTGCATATAATTTAATTTTTGCTTGATGCATAAAGTTAAAAGATTAAAACTAATAAAACAAGTTTAAAAAAAGAGACTTTTCCATTTGATTACATTTTGTATGATGGATTATGCAGAAAAAGTAGAATGTAGAAAGTAGATCTATCGCTTTATCACCTCTTCAGGTTGTAAATCGTGTTTTTAAAAAGTAACTAAGTAACTAAGTGTGGTGGGGCGTGGTCTGCGGGGCCGTGCGGACGCACCTGCACGGCATCCGCAATCACGCCCGCCGTGTTAAAACACGGGGACTCAGGGGTTGGTGGTGGTGTGGTGTGACGTGAATCAAATAAAGTTGGCTCTGAACGTCGCTCCGTGGTCCCGCCGTGCCTTATTCATGCCACATTGGTGCCGAAACCCAGGAGGCGGCATGGCGGGTACCTACCAGAGCCAGGAAAGGAAAGAGCTGGCCGAGAGGGTGGCCGAAATAGCGGCCACCCAGCGGAAGCAGGCGGCGGAGGTGCGTCGCCAACAGGAAGAGCTGCGGAAGGAGAGCGAACGCCACCTGGGGAAGATGGCAGAGCTGGCAGCGCTGCTCTGGGCCTGGGCGCCACCCCCACAAGTGTGTCCCGAGGACAGTGAAGCGGTGGAGGAGCCGTGTGGGTCACCTCGGCAGCCGGAGGTGGTGGACGAGCCACGCGGGGGTCCGAGCCTGCCGGAGGAGGAGGAGCAGCCGGGTGAAGGGCTGCTCCTGCCGGGAGCGGTGGAGGAGCCGCTCCAATCGGAGGCCGAGGACGAGGCGGGCGAGGGTCTACACCTGCCGGAGGCAGAGGAGTCGCTCCACCCAGAGGTGGGCGAGGGGCTGTGCCTGCTGGGGGCGGAGGCGCAGTGCGGGGAGCCGCTCCAAACGGGAGTGGCGGAGGCGGTGGCGGAGCAGCTGTGCGGGGAGCCGCTCCAAACGGGAGTGGCGGAGGCGGTGGCGGAGCAGCTGTGCGGGGAGACGGAGGTCCCTGCTCCAGGGCAGCCTGTGCAGCCGGAGTTGGAGGCAGAGGAGCGGGACAGCCCCGCTAGGCCGGGGATCGGCGGGCTGGCTAGTCCAGCCTCGCTGCCACCAGTCGATTCTGCGCGCCTGACGTCTGCCCAGCCGCCTGTGTGCAGGAGCTCACGGCCATGCCTGTGGGGCCGTGTCCGCTTGCTACGCGGCCGACCTCCGGACCAGCTTCGCCGTTGCCGCTGGATGCGCGGGCGGCCACCAGAACGGACGCTTCCCCGTCGCTTGGTCAGGGGCTGGGGCGCCGATGTTTAGGGGCCAAGTCTCGCCCCAGTTCGCGGGGGAGTAGGTTCGGCCAGATTGCTTCCCGGCCTCAATCGGGCAATGGGGGTATGTGGTGGGGCGTGGTCTGCGGGGCCGTGCGGACGCACCTGCACGGCATCCGCAATCACGCCCGCCGTGTTAAAACACGGGGACTCAGGGGTTGGTGGTGGTGTGGTGTGACGTGAATCAAATAAAGTTGGCTCTGAACGTCGCTCCGTGGTCCCGCCGTGCCTTATTCATGCCACACTAAGTAATTAATTACTTTTGAAAATAAGTAATCAGTAAAGTAACGGGATTACTTTTTGGGGGAAGTAATCAGTAATTAGTTACTGATTACTTTTTTCAAGTAACTTGACCAACACTGCTTGCAGCAACAAAAACATAATATTCCAGGAACACTTTGCCGATCCGATCAGCTGTTTGTAACACTTCCTACGTCCATCAGCGCGAACTATCGCATGTCCGCCATGTCCTGCCCGAAACCAGAAGTGACGTCATTTTGCGGAAATGTAGTTTTTTACCATCAGGGCCTCATGAGCCTATACTGGTGTTTTTAAAAATTATGTTTGACTTTATGACTTTCTGTGTCGTTTCTGGGATGCTTAGGACTCAGAGTTTCATAGCCACACCCCTGCACTCAAACCCTGCCTATCAACAAGCCATTCACCTCACCACTAACCAGCTCTTCACCACCACTGCTGCCTCCCTCCCAGTCTAGAGAGTGATGTTCTCAACAGCAGAAGCAAAACCATCAGTCCATGAACTACAACATCACTTCCAGCAAGCTTTCTTCAGCCCTTCCGGACCTAGCTCAGTATCAGAAGGTCCAAAAGCTAACATGTTTTCAGCCTTCATGTCGCCATTCCCTAACACAAAAAAGTTTGGAATCAAAGTTCCTGGGTGATGGCCAGGGAGAGGGAGGGCTGGGGTATTTCTGTGTGAATGTCAGATAGAAAACACTTGCAGTAAATAAATAAACATAAACAGGTACACACAGGATGTTCATGTTGTTTACCTGTGTCTCAAATATAAAAGCTTCCAAGCTGTTGAGTGTTTTCTCTCGTTCCTGTTTGGCCAGATCTCGGTCTGTCAAATCCTGCAGTCTGAAATCACACAAAGACTCCTTTAGCTGAGAAAACCAGGAAACCAAAACAGAAAATAAATGAAAATCAAGCTGTACTTTTTCTTAGAGGATGTCAGGTCATCGGCCGTGGGATCAACAATGTCATTGATAAGGAGTTCCAGTGTGATTTCTTCAGAGATTTTGCTCTTTTTCTGAGGTCTGGCCTTCTTCTCCACCTCAGTGTTTACAGATTTGTCTCCGTCTTTTTCCTCCTTCGCCGGGAGACAGATGGGTAATATCAATAACAGCTTTGTGAAGGCTAATCTCTCATGAATATACATTTTCACCAAACACTACACAAAATTTTAAAAAGGTGCACAGGCAGATAAATGTCAGCATTTGAATTCAGACCGAGGCATTTCACAGAGTATTATAAATGAAGCTCTTACCTTGGCCTCGGTCGTGCTTCCTGCCTCTTTGGCTTTTTCTTGGTTTTTGTCTTCACTTGAATTCTTCTCTGAATCACTGGGTTTCTCACTGGTAGCCTTGTCTTTGTGATTCTCATCCTTGCCGTCCTCATCCTTGCTGTCCTTCCCAGATTCTGGAGGTACTTCCTCCTCATCCTAGGCACAACAAATCAAGAGCCAATGCCATGCCGACCCTTTGCTCAGTGTTGGACAACCATTTATGTTCTTTATATAATGGTAAAGTTAAATCACACTTGGCAAGAACGTATTAACATTCCTAGACCAGCATGTATTGCTTTTTATAGGTGACGTTACCTGAACAGGTTCAGTTACATTTGGAGCAGGTTCTGACGATCCTCCTCCAAACAAAGTGGAAATGGTGTTACCGAGTTCTGGAAGACAGCAAATCGTTCCCTCAGTTAAATACGACAACTCACACGCTCTACAATATAGGCCATTGCAAAAGTACATACGATGTCAAATCAATCAAAACGAGCAGAACTTCCTGTGTGCTGCATAACAGAAGTAGTGAAACATAAGTGAGTGGAAAAAAAAAAAAGGAGTTAATGATGGACAAGAGCAGTGAGTCGCCAAGGAACGAGGGTTCTCATCTACAGGTGTTTGCAGTTATTCTATAACAGACTTTAGGTCACTCAATAAAAGTAAACGTATTAATTTTTATCTTAACATCAAAAATATTTAAGATGATTAACTTTTTAATTAAAAATGACCTGGCTGCTGGAGTGCATAAACTCCTCTGCTATGACTGCAACTGATAAAGCTGGTCTTAGCGCTAATAATTTTGAACAGTTACTGTTACTGACACCAAAGGAGTCCGAGCTGTGACTAAATACTAGCTATCACATTAGCATAATGAGCAAATAAGGCAGGAAGCAGAAAGTAAAGGGCACAGAGCCTTAATCAACTTATGTGCTAAACATCAGCAAGAATCCAACAATTTAACTTCTCTGTCAAGCTACATTTTTCTACTTTGTAGTAGAGAGCTTTTTATGTAACAGTATCAGATGCTTGTGTCAGCTTTAACTGGATGTCTGGCTGCAGTCAAAGTTTCATCACAAGATATCAGTCTGGGGTTAGTCCCCTCATGTTAGCAGTATGAGTTGAGAATGGATTCAAGCACTGGCTCATGTTTGCAAGAAACCTACTAGTTAATGTTGATTCCTCCTCTTTCTCCTCTACCACAGTCTCAAAGACAGACTCCACCTGTGTATGAAAATGACATTTTTTTAAACATTGGTTTGCTTAAATATCACAAAGTTTTTCCATTAACACTGAAAGCTGTTATGTGAGCATGGAACGTCAATCCTCCCATGTTTGGATTTCACATTTGGAGTCCAATGTTTTGGCTTGAAATTCATCAATCCTAATTACCAACATTACAGCCAAAGATTAAAAAAAAGGAAATCCACAAGCACAGTTATCTTCTTTTAATAGTAGTTGCAAATGATAGTACAGTAGTGAAATGCTTTGTTGAAACTCTGCCAGGAGGAGAAGGCAGAACTTGAATAAGTGACTGTCGTGAGGCAGCTCATGTTAGTTTAACTGACCCGGTCTAGCAGGAGCACTCCACTTTCATCCATGTTGAAGTGGGCTTTAATTCCTTTCGACTCTGCATCTGCATGCTTCTGAAAACTACTCCCCACTCCAGACAGCTTGACTGTGGTCAGGTTCAGAGAGCCGAACACACTGTGACACACGAGCAAGAAGCACACAGTTTTGCCTTACACTTGCATCCAATTAAAGCGTGAGGGCACACACTGATGGGATGGAATACATTTAAATATCTTCTTTTTATGGGGTTTTGCCATAAACTGTTAAAATGAACCTCATTTCATAGTATTTTTCAAAGAGTTCCAACCTGAGGTCTTCCTGACTGAGGAAGCTGAGGTCACCGTAGTTGATGTTGAAAACAAAGTCATCGTTGTAACGGTTGAATGTAATGACCTTGCGCTGGGGGTAGGTTGCCATCCTCTGGAACAGGATGCGTTTGTTATGTTTCAAGGTTTTGACACTTTCCTCCTCCTCCACCTCCCGGGTAAACTCCACCTAATACAATGAGATGTCACGCAGTCAGTGTTGACATGGATTTTACTCTGAATTTCCCATTACTCTAATCAGACTAATCAAAGCTCAGTTAAGTATGATTGTACTCATGATGCACTCAGTTTGAAGCAGCAGAGGACCTGAATGCTGACCTGAATGGGGAAAACAGCTGCATCTCGAACCAAGAAAGGTTTGACCTTAAAAGCCTTGCTCAGGGCAGCGGCCTGGTACACTGCACCCATGGCTGCTGCCTCATCTGCATTGATGTTCTTCCCCAGTTCCTCTCTGCACGTAGAGAAAACAAACTTAGTATAGTTTGGAAAATTAAAATTTTGAGAATGATGGAAACATCTCTATGGACAACACTTACTTGCCCACAGCTTTAAGGAGCACTTCCTGGACCTTTGGCACACGAGTGGAGCCTCCTACTAAAATCACCTGCTCAATATCCTCCTGTTGTCACAAACATAAAACGTCTAATAGTCTGGTGATGACAGAACTTCTAATTCTGTTGTTGTATCCCATGTTTGGAGCCAAATCCGCCCACATCCTGTCACGTTGAGCATACTGACCAGTTTCATCTCTGCAGCAGTCAGGGCATCCTGCACTGGCCGAGGCACTCTTTCAAACAGATCGGCACACAGTTCTTCAAACTCACTCCTGGTCACCTTAGCTTTGAAGTCAATGTCATCCATCAAACCTTCCACCTGGGTAATTTAAAAAAAGAAAAAAGATAAAGTAAGAAAGTGCAAGATTTCTGCGAGTTTAAGAGTGCAGTGTGGATTTCAGATTTTGAGATTCTGGCAAAGCGTTTTCATGTGTTGCAGTTTATCACAGTGACTTTAGCTACAACATAGACCATTACAATGACATACGCAACCGGTAAGACGGAGTGAGTGCTTGAAGTTCCTGTCTCTGGACTCACCTGGGCCATGAAGTCTACATTTGCACTCAGCACAGTCTTGAGCCTCTGAGCTTCTTTGAGAAGCTTGGCCATAGCCCGGTGATTTTCCCGCACATCTTTCTTGCTCTTCTTTTGCTCATTGAACAGTCTGGCCAGGTGGTCACGAAGTCGCAGGTCCATCTCAAAGCCCCCCAAACCCCGATCAAACCTTAAGTTAGAACACATTTGCACACTTTAGTCTGGATGGATGTAAAGTAGGCAGTTATTTTATAGAGCAAATTACAATTTAATAGTTTTAATACTGACCAACAAATACAAAACCCTTTCTAGTTAGTAACAGCTACAACATGATAAACAAGCAAACGCATGAAGCACCAGCTCCCTGTATTCCAACTCCTGCCACTGCGGTGTCAGAGAACTTCTGCAGATGGCAGATATACTGGAAATCAGAGGCGTACAATGGAAACAGTACTGTCCTGTTTCCATGCAGCAGATAAGTAACAGCCATACCTACTCTATACTTCGACACCAAACTCGCTCATCTATGTCTTTTTGGACTTTGTAAGGTAAAAACCTTACAATATCACAGAAAAACTGAACAATCAGACGAATCCCTGTGAGCAAGCACTTTAGCGTCATGGGGAAGGAAAAACTTCCCACTGATGCCAAATAAACAGGTAGTTATTAACGTTAAGTGGAAGTAAAATGATCAGAAGTATGAATGCAGTATTTCATATACAGTATACAGTCAAAAACTATACCCA